TAGTAGTGTGCTCGTGTTTGTCAGTGAACATGTAGTGTGCTTGTGTATCTCAGTGAGCTTGTAGTGTGCTTGTGTGTATCAGTAAGCTTGCCTGTAATAAGCTTGTGTGTGTCAGTAAGTTTGACTGTTGTGAGATTGTGTATGGGGCAGGGAGCCTGTGTGTGTCAGTGAGCATTTCTCTAGTCTGTGTGTGCATGGCCGATGGAAGGATTGACATCACAATGCCCCACCCATATGATCTGCCATATCACTAACGCCAGTGTGCACACAGTGTGTGTTTACATTAAAAAGCCTGCAGGGACAGGCTATAGACGCCAGAACCACGTCATTACGCTGCAGTGGTTCTGGGGACTATAGTGTCCCTTTAATGTGAGGTAAATAAGAGATTAGGGTCACTAAAAATATATAATCGATTGCCTACTTACAACCAGATGAGGATGGTGATGGGCTCTGGCTGCAGTCTGGCTCCACTGGTCTGGTGTAGAACAGAATCTCTGGAGGCTGCTTGTAACTGTGGTCACAAAATTCAATGTTCTGGGAGAACGGGAAGCAGCTCCATTTTTTGGGGCCCCTTACACAGCTCAAGGTCTGGGCCCCAGGGCCTGATGGTGAGTATGCCCATAAGGCCCACCCATAAGTCCACCTACATGTTCCACCCATGAGTTCGCTCACAGGGAGTAGAGTGTGTAGGGGATGTGTTATGTGTTATTGTAGAGGATCTAATGTGTGTGCTTATGGAATGTAGTGTATAGGATGCCAGTTTGTGTAGGTGATGCAGTGTGTTTGTGTGTAGTGGACGCAGTGTGTTTTTGTGTAAGGAATAGAAAGCAGTGTGTGTTTGTGTATAAGGGATGTATTGTGTGTTTCTGGTTGTGTGTAAGGGATGCATTGTGTGAATCTGTGTTTGTATGCATAAGGGATGCAAGGTGTGTTTCTGTGTATGTAAGGGATGCAGGGTGTGTGTCTGTAAGGGGTGCATTGAGTGTTTCTGTGTTTGTGTAAGAGAAGCAGTGTGTGTTTGCATGTGTGTGTAAGGGATGCATTGTGTGTTTCTGTGTTTGTGTGCAAAGGATGTATTGTCTTTATGTGTAAGGGTCACATTGTGTGTGTATGTAATGGATGCATTGTGTGTTTCACTGTGTGTAAGGGAAGCATGTTGTGTTTCTGTGTGTGTAGGGATGCATTATGTGTTTCTGTGTATGTATAGGGATGCATTGTGTATGTGTGTGCGCGTAGTGTGGAAGAGCTCCCTGTCCTGCCCCCTGTCCTATAGAGCTCTCCCTTCCATCCCTTAGAGCTCTCCCCTGCCCCTTAGTGGTCTCTCCTCTCCTCCCCTGTCCCTTAGTGGTCTCTACTCTCCTCCCCCCTCCCTTTGTGGTATCTCCTTTTCTACCCCCCTTTCCATTAGTGGTCTCTCCTCCCTCCCCTCCACCCTTAGTGGTCTCTCCTCTCCACCCACACTCCCCTAGAGGTCTCTCCACCACCCCCTCCTTCCCTTAGTGGTCTCTCCCCCACCCCTACGTTCTCCTTACCCTCCCTCCCTCCCACGGTCTTCTCACACCCCCCTCCCTTACTCGACTCTCCCCGCCCCACAGGGCCGCCATCAGAAAATTTGGGGCCCATGACAAAGCACAAGGTCTGGGCCCCCCCCCCTCCTCGCGGGCCCGCCCACGCCCTACCTAGTCCGCTCACAATGATGCAGGACTGAATGTGGT